TCCATTTTTTCCTCGATTCCACGAAGTTTGCGTGTTTGTCGTCAAATATTGAGATTTCTCAAACACAGCATAATTATTTTCAATGTACCCCTTATTACCGTGCTTGCACTTTGCTTTAGGTGAAACTCGGACACTTCGAGCATACCGCGCTGCACCGGATCACGTGTCAAGCCCCAGTCACCCCAACCGACGTAACCCACGGACTTCTCAGGTATCCAGCACTCCTTCGCCACCGTCCCCCTGACATCCCATCAAAGTCATTGCATCTCAATGAGCCTCACACTCCGCGCGAGTTAGCATGGGAGCCAAACAGCCATTGTCATCCATGAAATGGGAAGACACTGTACTACTAAGGCCTGTATGGTCTTTCGGGCACCTAGACTCCTGACCAATCCTTCTCTACTGTTTGGATGACATAGGAAGCAGGCGACGATTTTATCTGTCGTTTTCCCCCGCGTTCCCATCTATTTCCCCTGGCACCCCGAACTGCCGGCCTGATTTACGCTGTTCCCCTGGTTGTTGTTGTCTGTCTCAGGACAAGCCTGTTTAATGGCGGTCATCAAGGTCTGATGTATTTACTTTCATACACCTGGTAGTCATTATGATTTGCCTTAGAACGGGGGGTCGGGTAATTTGTCAACTTCCTTCGTACACTCTATCTGTCTGCGGTGCATTTACGGTAAATATATGCGTATGGGGTAATTACAAATAGGGCTTCGACGGTTTCGTCAAATAGCTTCTCCTCGTGACGACAAATGTCAAGTAATTTTACCTACGCCTGTATAACACGTGCGCACAGTATTGTCTACGGAAGCAAACGGCTCGGAACAACCTAATGTCATGTACTACGTTTAGTTGTATCATATAAATAAATTTCCATTAGCCTTTGCACCTTTTTTTTACATTGCACATTACACATTCGAGCCGTATGTTAGACTGGTTTCTGTTAGGCGCCAAGTCGCGATGGTGTCAAACGATGTCCATACTAGGTAGGTAGGTAGGTAGGAGAAGTTCGATGACGATTTGAAATCAACGTTTCATCTGAATTGGCGTCTATAGACACGCAGATACATATACCTCAGGCCCTCGACTGTTCAAAAATTTCAGAGAGACCTAACGTATCTGCACACCTCCCTTTAAACCTGTTGACCACTAGCCAATTTCAGCCATAACACCACGACCAAGAACTACAGAGCAGATAGAAACGTAGCCGTAAGTAGCAATATGTCTAGATCCTACGAAAATTTTTCCCTGCTCGATCCGTTCGTTCATACGGAACAGTTTCGGTTACGATCATGACGGATGGATGGTGCATCCAACTGTCGATCCGCAGATTCTGACAGTAAGACAGAAACGTGCAGAATCGTACGGCTCGTTTAAAACTTCGTTTCGTATTTAACCGTTAGTTCGACTTCCGGGCTGTATTATGATAGTACGCTCTCAAGCGATGAATCTGCCGCTGCTGCTGTCTCCTGCTGACCTATCATTTCAAAGCCTTTTCAATGTTTAGGCTTCAGCAGGGAGCCAGTCGTAAACGTTTGTTTACAGGGAGCCCCCCAGAGTGGGAAACTATCTATATATGTAAACTGTAGATTGATCGGAGCGGATATTATTGGTTGTATTTTTCTTTTGTCATGTTTTTTGACGACGTTACTATGTTATACGCTTCGTGCCAATTAACATTGGCGTTGTACTGAGCTACGCTACTATACTCTATGCGGATTACACAATATATGAATCAGTCGACTGCGTTGCGAAGCCGCGAAAATAGAAAACAATATGACTTTCATGAGGACATAAACGGACCTGCGTTTCTCCGCCTAACCACGTAGCTATCTAACGGCTCCGTTAGTGATTGTACAGACACCACAAACTCTGGTGTGCACTCATTCGGCATACTTTTTTCTTATGTAGCAGATAGAATAGCGGTGGTGACGACATGAAATCCCCTCTGTCGACTGAGCTTAGAGCTGATACTGAATATTCCCTGTTACCTTGCTTTCCCCTGGTTTCCAATATCTCAATTCCTTCCATCTTTTTTCTTTTGTTGTTGTTACCGCGCGCAGGTTTGTTCGTTCGTTCGTCTATTTACACCTTCGTTTTCTCGATTTGGCGAACCAGCGGCAGCGGCAGCGTCAGCGGTTGAGGATAGAGAGTGTATGGCGCGTCGCGTCTTCCCACCGCCGTATCGTGTACGCCCGCAGCCAGTCCTCTAGATTCTGTTTTCATCTTGATGTAGTTTGCGTAAGCGGGTTTTTCGTGACCTCTCCTTCGAAACGATGGGGTCGATGACGACTGTTATTTCGTTTCGTCCAAAAAAAAATACAATCCTGACACATGAATCACACGTCGATCCCTGCCCCCGCCCTTTAGTCGCGCAGGTCGCTTACTGCTGCCGTCATCGCTGTACTTGTCACTGGCGCTAGTTTCGCCTTGCCGCAGCCGCTGCTCGGTTCGTTTGAGAAGGGAAACTGATCCTCGATAGACTCCACTGCCTCCGTCGACGACAGCAGCGATGAGCACGACCACGGAGAAATCAAGCAACGATCGGACAACATCAACAGCAGCAGTCGCGCGGGCAAACATGGAGTTCAGCCACAGCATCAACATTCGCAAATCTAAAGCCAGGCCACTGCCGCACGCCGGCGAACTTCGTCGCTGTTCCAGGAGGTACTGCCTCAGACGCGGAGCACAGGTTCAACACTCATCGACAAACGAGCACACGGCTGGGTAGACCTGGCGAGTATCGCACCGTCATTCGGTTGTTGCCGTCGACGTTGGCGTTACCAGCCCAGTCGTTGTTGTGGTCGTGATTGTTGTTGCTGTTGCGATCGGATCAGAATCTTAACGATGGCGCAGGTCTGACTGCGTCTACTGGTATACAGTCGGTGCGGCCTCTTTCAATCTCTCTAGCTCGCTTAGTGTTTATCACACGGCCGCACAAACACCGGCCTCTGTAAGCTCGACGAACGTCAGCATTACATCCACCTCGAATACACAGCAGCGTCTGCATAGACGGTGGTGGCAATAACAAAAGTTGTCGCCGCCCGTCGTCGACTGAGGACGTAGTAGCGACAACGCAAATAATCAGGGGTATAAAGGTATAACTAGAGCCGAGCCTGAACTAGGCAATGCCAATTGATGACTGGTCGTAGATCTGATCCGGTTGTATATTCCACAATATGCACTATAGCACAATGCATATGTGGGCACCGAGGATGTCTGCTGTAGGGAGGCTGACTGACTGACTGACGGAATATCGACGTATGTAAAAAACGTAATTGGCAACCGTTGCAAAAAGCGGCACTGAAGACTGCTGCATATATGAGGATGCGCAAACTAGTGTTAGGTCAGATAGATCGAATTTTTTTTTTAATATCTTTTGATGCTTCTCTCTATTTGTTACTGTACGAACAAGTGCTTGGAATCTTCTCTTCAATGTAGAAATTGATTGGTGCAGGGCTGTGTTACTTTTATTGACCTAGGTGTAGTGGGACTTCGGGCGATAGAGCCGGTCACTATCTGCTAATATCTGTGTAGATATTGGAGAGTATGTCAACGCAATTTATCTGCGGCACCTGCGATATTACATCAATTGTCTATGACGATTACAAACGTTGGGCTCAACCTTGGTGAGAGTTAGTAATCTACCTTGTGCTTAAGTTCGACCACGGATCGTTGCTTTGCGGATACGGGGCAGGAGAGGGGCAGTGGTCTGTAACAGCAAACTTCATTCTCTCTTCTAGCGGACATATGTAACAGGCACTTCTGCCAAACAACAGGGTTGCAAAAAAGAATCTGGCAATTTTTGGCCCAACACGTTTTCTTGTTCACGATTTGCCGTTATAACTAAATTGTACTACCATTTGCGTTCATCGCTGCATTGTCTCCTCAATAACAGGTCTCATCAATCAAGCGGTGATAGCAGCGGGATTCGCCCGAGCCCTCGTTTGGAGTTAGTAAGATCCTGCTTTCTTTTTTTTTTTTTTTTAACTTGCTCACTGAGCCAGTTCTGCATACAAAGATGACTTGTGCTGCAGGCTATTGCCCTCACTACCTGCCCCATGTCGCCTTTCCTTAGAGAGGTAAACGGTTGTCCTTTCCTTTTCACTGCCTCACCCCACCACGTTGCACGCTCGGAAATACCACCTGCCCCCGAGAATGTGTCTCTCAGAGGAGATCCATCGAACCGCCTTAACCTAGTTGCGCCCTGGCTTCTGATCAGGTCGGAGTTAGCGGTAGGTGAGGCTTTGAATGCGCTGTCGCTTTCTCGAAAAGTGACGTTGGGCTTGCATTTGGTTTTCAGAGATAATGTAAATCTCGAAAAAAATATCGAGAGTAAATATTTATTGGTACTGATTTACCATGAAAAACCATAGGTTAGTCTCAGCAGTTAATGTCGATTTTTCCATACTCTTTCAAAATAGTGGGAAATACTACTGGCCATCATTTCTTGTCACAGGAAAGGCGCCTATATGAAATACGTATAAAGTAAACTGTACACGGTACATGATATTGTTAGAGATAAACAATGGTAGCGAGCCTTAGTTTAGAAAAATCCTACCACTTGGAATTGTTTAACAAAGTCAGTTGCGGCTGTGCTATTATATTTTGAAGTATTTGCTCCCCAGTACGTTCGTCGTTCCTATTTACCTGTCTAGTGCTCCTGATGAACACAATTAGGTAAACGCCTCGTCAGGTGATTGGGGTATGTTGCTACTGCAGCGTTCAGCTCTTGTCAGCAGCTGCAGGACATCAATTCACATAATGACATTCGTAGGACATGAACTCGCATCAGTGCCTTGGGGTGCGTTTGTCTTCGACGCACTTATTCCGTTGACTTTAGCACCCATCTAATACTAATGACTACTGTAAATCAACACAGTACCCCCCCCCACCCCCAACGCACACAGATGAACCACTTCATGAAAATCATGATGAAAGACACTCTGAAGAAATCTGGATGAGACTGTCACCCCCCGTTTTGCATCGTTACTTACCTGCCAGGAAGTGTTGTAGCTGGGCCGTGTTGGCTAGCCGCCAGCTGCCCACTGCAGCTGCTCCAGGATCAGTAAGACAGAGCGTTGCACTCAAGAGTGGTATGCGAGGTGACGCTGGAACACATGAGGCTCTAGCTCAACTCACTATTCAATATTGAAATCGACCCGTGTCCACTGTGTCTTCTTGGCAACAAGAAGAAGGTAACACCTTGTCGCTTTAACACATCAACACACAATTCGATGGCGTATTTTTTTTTCGTATATGGTATTCACTTGACGTTCGGTGCAGATGACGTCTTCTTAACCATTGACCTATTCAGAGTGCACCTCTTGACACCGTGTTTGATGGAAATCACAAAACCTACCACTAGTCAACAACAGGAATCACTTCATAATTTGCACAATTAATCAACTAAGGACATGGACAACTGAACAATTTAACGTTGCGGCCGCTCGGTTGGACTTTGACATTGAAACCAGCAGATTCAAGTTACCTACTATTACAGCAACATCAATAGCCGTTGACATCAACTTCGTAACACTTCGCGTATAACTTGCGCGCATACGGCAATACGAACGAACTCAGTGTTGAGTTGTACCCGTAACCAACTTGACACCTTTTTCTACCAACTTGAATAACTTATGCAGCAGCACAACTTTCTCCTTGCGCCACTGACCACGCAACTAGTCGAAGTGGTTCACCGACGACTTTGGTGAGCGGACTAGTGTTAACATTGACACAGGCGCACGCATACGGACTGACCCAGTGCTGGCGTTCGTCCTCGCCGTCGTACTCGACTATGAACTTAGCCTTCGTTGTGCGGCCGGACGACCACCTCCGTTCCTGCCTCCACACGAAGATCTGAAGAGAGGTGAGGGCACAGGCAGCGGAGAGCAACCGTGGTACCGTCTCTCCGATCTGCTGCCTCCTCCTGAGGCCTCCTGTGCGAGGGCTGTGCCCAGGATGTTCGCGAAAGAGTGAGAGACTGTGAGCGCGCGCCTGTCGGTTCTTTTGCTCTGGCCTCTGTGGCTCAGGGTTTTCTCAGAGCGCTTGGTGCCCTCCTGTGCGCCTAGCTGCTGCTCCTGTGCTCGTCTGAGCAACTCCCTTCCTTTTCCTGCGCGACGTGCGCTCCCTAGACGACGCCGCGAGGAACTGACTGACTAAGCTCTGTGCTCTGCGGCTGCTGTAGTGGTGCCAGCCACCGCCGTGATCTGCTGCTGCTGCTGCTGGTGCTCACCGACACAGCAGCAGTCGCGGGTGCGGCCAAGGTACACGGTGCTCTCCGCCGCTGCTGGCAGCTTTAGCTGCCAGTTCGCTGGCTCACTCGCCAGTGCTCTCCGCATTTACTCGCCTGCTCCCGCAGGCAGACCAAGCGAGAGAAAGAAAGCACGGATACAACCTCTCCTCCACGCAGCTCCCCCTACTGGCCGCGGTGGGTCGTCCACTACTGAGAGCTGCTTACGAGAGCACCGTTACGACTGCTAGAGCGGCTGCTGTCAGTAGTACTACGTTGCTTGGCAAACTCGAATGTGGCCTGGCCGACTGCCTGTCTTGATGGCTGGCCAGTCGAGTCAGGGCTGTTGCGGATACGGGTAAGGACATGGGTCTCTCTTAGTTCGCCTGTCTGTTCCTTACTTCTTGTCTGCGTATGACCGGGTCATCCTATGTACGCTCTCCGTATACTGTCTTTCTTCCCGTGTTCGTTCCTTCTCTTTTTTCCATACGCTCTTACACTCCGGTGTGTTCTTCCATTCTCGGACACGGAACAAGCATAGACTTAAGCAAAGCCAGTGGCGGCAGTCTTTACGTCGCCCGTCGCCGCACGAGGACCACGAGACAGGCTAACGCGGGCGAACAGCCTGCCTTCTTGCCAAGGTTTGATCTAAAGAGCAGCTGGCTGCCGGAACGTTCCGAACTATCCGTGGAAAAGGCAGCACCGGTTTTCTGCAGCAACAACAGCAGCAGCGCACCGGGTGCTCTTTTCTCTCGTTCAAACTCTCACAGAAAATGGGAGCGCTATTTCGGGTTGCAGCCGCGGCCGCTGCGGCAGCGGCCGCGGCTGCGCCCGTCCCCTACCCACCGCCGCTATCGCTATGGACAAGCGATGTTCGCGACCCACCGATCGAGAGAGCGACCGGCCGACCACGCGCGCACCGCACGACGATTAGAAAGTAAGCTCCTGCTACACAGACAAACATGCACACACATACATATACAAACGCACGCACACAGACACTCACCGGCGCACTCCGGTACTTCCCGCCCCGTGCGCCTCCAGCTCCTCTCTCCCACCTCGATCCTCCTATCCGGTTTGAGAGGACCACCTCCTCTATAGGTGGTACAACGGCGGACGGGAGGGGGAGCGAATACAGCGCTGCTACCATTATAGTCCAGAGCGCACCGCTGCCAAGGACCGACCAAACAGGCCAGACGGTGCCGACGCAGTACGGCAGGGCAGCACCGGGCCGCCGCGCCTTATTTTCTTCCCCTTGGCAAGAGGAGACCTTCGCCAGGGACATTCAGCATGCGTCCGCTTTAGCTTCTGATGCCCTTTCCCTCGGTGGTGGTCGTTATCGAGCTCCACGAACTTATTCGATGAAGCTCGGCAGCATTAGTAGCTGCTTCGTGGAGGACGCTGAGGACGTGCTACGGTAACCAGTCAAAGGGAACCGTACTGAACAACCGAGTAAAACTGGTGCACAACTAGACCTTGTCGTTCCTTCGTATGTACCTATTAGTTAGACCGGCAGACGGTAACGGGGCGGCCAGAACGCGATGTCGATTGACAGAGGCTTTTCCGCTGGTTGCTTTGACATCACCACCAGCTCGATCGGAGCGTATTCCCGTACTTTTCTCGGTGGTGCGAACTTCATCTTTACGTTCGTCTCCCTCCTTCTAGTACACTACATCTTGCTCAATTTCTCTGCTCTTTTCTCTTCTTAAGGTGGCAAGTTTTCTGCTTCTCGTGCCATTTGCTCCACCAAAAAGAAGACGTTCATCACACTTTGCAACACTATACATTACCAAAAAAACTCCCCACCTATTATTTCTCGTCTTCCCTTTAAGCTTACCGTTTCCTTTCGTTTACCACTGCTTTTCGTCTATGTGTGTGTGTGTGTGTGTGTGTGTGTTCCTCTATGTGGCTAAGTGGAGCAGCGCGTTGACGGCGCGTAGTTCGGCGCTTGCGGTATTCCACCGTCGCGTTCGTGTCCCTTTCCCTCAAGACCCTGTGCACCTTCTTGCCGTCATCGCACGCGACGATAGCCCTGAACCGAGCACCAGCTGCACGTTTATTCTGTCCTCAATCCGTCCACTAACACCACCGTCACGATTAGACTAGCTAGCAGTGATCGGCGTCGTAGTCCTCCACCCTCTCCCAATTTTCCTCTGTAAGGTACCGTGCCGTCGCTGCTGCTACTACTGTTTCAGCTTCTCCTGACTATGTGGAGTATGCTGTGGAGCGCCGTGTGATGCGCTATGCTCGATCCTCTGTACGCTACTGCCACCTGGTCGCTGCCCGAAGAATCAGTCAACAAGCTGACCGCTGGTTTGGCGAGTGTGACGTGCGCCCCACGAGGAGTGCGCGCGGTGAAGAAGCCTGTCCTATGTTGCTCCTGCAGCTGCTGTGGATGCCTCTAAAAGAAGAGGCAAGCGGCAACCACACTAGACTACACGATGAATACCGTGCTCCACACCGGCGCCACTCGTAGTGGGAGCTGAGTCCATGGGGGGCGCTGGATGGGGTGCTCTCCAAAAAGAGGACCTAAACACGGACCCATAAAGGTGGAAAGGGCTCCGGAACCTGTGGTGAGTGAGGGTTGAGGAAAGACATCCTGCCAGGAGTCTGCCTGTCTGAGGGAGGGCTGAAGAAGAGCAGCAGCAGCAGCAGCAGCAGCAGCAGCAGCACGAGAAATGAGGGAGGGTGATGTGCCTCAGGGCGATTCCTCGTCGCACGGCGCTCGGTATGCCGAGGATGTACATAAAACGCTACTAGTTGGTTGTAAACTGTTGGCCGACAGGCTGTGCGAAGCTGTTGCCGAGGAAGAACGGCCGAATGCCTTCTAGTGTTCGTAAGTGTAGTGCAGAGTTGAGCAGTGTATCTGTCAAATAGAGCAGATTGGTAATCTGCTAATAAAAGATTAACGAGATTGAGGAATAAGATTACGTAAATAAAATTACTTTGATTTAGACAGAACATAGCGAGTATGTGAGACATATCCTTATGACTTCAAAGATTGCGGCTTGTTGATGGAACGGTAAAAAGCGGCGGGGACCGTAATCTGACAGCTCACCTGGCTAGCAAGAGAGCTACGCTGAGAATCCATTGGCAACTCAAAGCTTCTGTGTCCATAGGCTTCTAGGTCCGTGTATTGGCACGACACATATTCGTAATAGACATATTTCGGGGAAATCACAAATAGCGTTAGTCAATACCGGAGGAAAAGTGGTCCAGGGTAAGCGATAACAGATTGATACGAGCTCTAGAGCGACGGAATACGTGAATATGTCTGTTACGGTCAGTCAGCAGGTGCCTTTTCGTATCCGATTACTCAGAGAGGCCAGTCAGAAAGCAGCAATCCAGTTTCAACAAACGGGATCCGTATGTCTGATTCTCACGGTTAGCGTAGCTTGTATTAGTAGGAATACCGTCAGACTCAGCAAAGGAAACTGTCGCTCTAGAACTGTCAACAAATTTGTCTTCACCCACCGACTATTTGCGGGTATCACGTAACCGATGCTGTACGGTGAGAACTGATTAATATGTGTTGTGAAAAAGCTTCGATTTCTGATAATCTGATAATTATTATTACTAAGGTTTACTCCTAATGATCCCGTTGGTAAAAACAGTGTGATCGCATAGTAATGATGTTTGATCAGAATAGCCAGAAGGGCTGTTCGTTTGGTAGCGTTATCTGAACGCAAGGACTCGATTCGTGTTTCTCTTTCCGACTAAACAGCGGCAAGATTATAGATTTGATGGATTTCAGAACATGAAGCCGACGCTGGGCTTCCTAGCGTTCATGGCACACCGATGCTTGCCTTTAGCACGCTAGCAGGTAGCGTGAAGGTGCAGGGTTGCACCGGATAGGCAAAGATATACGTGAGATACGTTACAGTGAAATAAAGGGGTTGATAGACCGATGCCAACGTGATAAAAACAAAAAGCGGTCGACGGAGTGGCCTATCTGCGTATATGATAATATTGTAGCTACTTAGTATTCGAGGGAATGATGTAAATGTTTAGTTTGTCTTGACACGCTTGCTCGGCTATCTGCTGTCCCTTCATGAGGCTGTTAATTAGTGATTTCTGTCTCTGAAATGCATCCCATCCGTGATTTTAATAGTTTGCTCGTTTGGAACGGATAAAGCTGCAGGTGGTTAAGGTGATTTTCCTATATGATTACTTGGGATTTCACTTAATGGCTGGCTTAACAGTTGAAATTTAAAAAAAATAGTTGCAATACACTTTGTGTAAAACCGTCATCTCGACCAGAGCGAACAAGGAGCTACTCCTGTGTGCTTAAACGGGCACGGAACGTACGAAAAATAAGGCGGCACCATAAACCTTCAAACTTCAGAATATGCAGTTCTATTATTCTAATATATAATTACGCAGAGATGGTAAATATAGTAAAAATAACAATGGTTTTTTACATCATACCCTACCTTGAACACCCATGTTTGTTTCAGATTTCAGGTTTTTAACAATGAGATACTGTTTCGAGTTGCAACCGGCCCTTCATTTGAGCTTCATTTTAGAGCTTATCTATGCACTAC